AAAGTCGAGACGACATCTGGAAAGCTGGGTCGTACTGATAGTTGATTAACTGCTGTGTTATGACGTCATATCTACTATGTGTATAAATATCTCACAACATCCTAACTTGGTGATTAGTTTTTCCCATTTTCTTTGGGTGTTGTTCCAGTTCGCATTCGGGAACCTTCTTGTGATGCATGGTGTCCAGTGATTCGGCAAAGCGGCAGTATTTTCAATTTGTTGTTTCCTGTGAGCAATTGTGGTGGGTGGCATCTTTAAACACAAGTGTTTCCAGGGTTTTATTTTTTCAAGTGTCTTCTTATTTAAAAGCATAGATTTATTTAATAAAGTGAAATTCAAGTTAATCATGTAGTTTTTTTTTTTTTTTTTTTTTTTTTTTTTTTTGTCTGTGATATGTTTGTCATGAGTTATTTGAATGCCAGTATTCATGGAACAGGTAATGTGTTTGTTGTACCATTAATAGTGTAATATTCTTAAAAGAAAACCCTTGGGGATTAGTGAATAGTTAACTAAGTGCAATTTTTTTTTTTTTTGCAATGATTATGTACAATCTTAACTTCAAGTTTCTGTATATTATCAAATTGTTTGTGTATGTATATTTTAAAGTTTTTTTTAATAAGTTGGTTAATTTTAAAACTTTTGTCATCCAGTCTGTATAATACATGATGTTAGGGGTTTTTACTGTGATAGTTTATTTCTGCTAATTTGTTTAGTACTTATTGGTTTTTCGCAATCAGGGTATCATCAACAAAATTTATTTTTGGCAAATGGAAAGAAATTTTTGATAAATTTTTCTGCATCAACATTTTTTAGCGCATTCAACTTAAATCTTGTAATCATCGCCAAGCATAATATCAGCATAGAATGTTACCACACTCCTTTATTATTCAGTTACTAATATTAAAAAAAATTGTTTAGGTATCGCTACATGAGTTATTACTCAAGTTGTCATGTTTTGATAAACATGCGGTGATGAAAAGAAAGTATAAAAAATAATTATTCACCAGGTTGGTGTCAGAACAACGATGTATCTATGTGGAATGTTTCGCTTTGAGATGTGCGCCAAGCAGATACGCAGCAATGAAGTTAAATTACTGATCATGCAAATTTATGCTAAAATAATTGTTTCTTCAATTACGAGGTATTTCATTTAGAGTCGAAGAGAAATTAAGAATCGGGACTCTCCAGACATATTATGCGCAGAGGGGGGGATGAAATGCGCATGCGTAAAGCGTACGAGAAAAGCGTTGGTGATTTTGAGGTCCGGATTTTAGATCATTCCGGATAATGGATGCTCAGATTGTATATGTAAAGTTATATCATCATCTTTTATTCTAACCTCTCCATATTTTGCTCAAATTCCATTAATTGGATAATTTTACTTTTTATGCCATTTAAAATCTATGCCAAAATAAATTTTGTCTAATTTTGAAATCAAGCTTTCTTAATCTAGAATTGTGCCAACACCATTTTCTCATGTTTTAAAGCTACTATAGGAAGCAATTACGAATTATGCTTTCATTTTGCAGATCCTGCTACAGATTCAGAATTAGAAAGTTTTTTTACCTAATCAAAAGTTAAACTTCAATTTTGATAAGAGAACTGTAATAATAATAAAAGCTTGCAAAGATGTAATAAACTGGATTATATAAGAAATTAAGGAAGAGTGGAATTAACTCAATTATGTTCCTGATAATTTAATTCTTCATCCTTTCCTCACTGCTATACCCACAGAAGAAATCGAGAATGATGTCTTTGGGCTTAACTTTAGGTCAGATAGAAAAGTGTTATCCTTCAACTAAACGGTCTTAATTCATGGTTCACCCATGAATTAGAACAAATATATTGCCCCCTTAGAATAAATATATTATACATGCCTTCCAAGAGAAGAAAAGGGTATAAAATGTGAGGTACACTGCACGCACAAAAAAAATAAAATGGACAGTTCCGTATTTCCCTTTCTACTGGGCTGATGACTTTCGAGACATTAAAATACGCTTGCGTGTTTTAATGTCTCGAAAGCACGACATCATAGAATATGTATTAGATTTATATATAGAATTGTTCTAATATCTGTATTTTAACACAAAATCTGACATTTTCTGAAATGGCATGCCAATTTTTTTCCATATTTATTCTATTTTTATTTCAAATTATGCTAAACTGCTAAGTTTTAAAAAACTCGCACAAGTAGTTTTTAAAAAATTAGCTCTCAAAATTTTAGCTACTCGATGTTAAATGAGTCTGTATATATTTATTAATATCTCTTTTTTTTTTTATTATTCTTTCTTTCACATTTTGAAATTTAGGTTCAATCTAAATAAAATTCGCCCAATTTTACGATTTACTTTTAAAATTTGAGTTATAATCTATAAAATTTTTTACATCTTAAAGTAGATGTATTTCTATGCATACTTGCAAAAAATTACAATTTTTTATTCAAAATTTCCGAAGATATGTGTCGAATTTATACTTTGACGCTTTTTTAAATTTTGCATATTTCTTCAAAGCAGTAATAACATCAAATGTGGTTTAGGCATTTTGTTTAAATTATTTGAAAGGAGGAACAATGTGACTTTTTTCCGGTACAAGAAGTTCGCCAAATGAAATTATTCATGGCGCAAACCTAAAAAAAAATGTGAAGATAAATTTGTATTTTTCTGTAAATATCATGCCAAATTTTACAAAATTTAATATTTAGGCATAATTTGAATCATAGAATTCAAATACGAAAAAAATTGATATATTACTTCAGAAAACGTCTGATTCTCTGTCAGAATACCTATGTTAGAACAATGCTATTTATAAATCTAATGTATATTCTGAGTCACACTTTTGAGACATGAAAAACTCAATTTGAATTTCATCAATCGGCCCTGTAGAATGGGGAATGTGGAACTGTTCCTCTCTCTTTTTTTTTGCACAGTGTACATTATTAGTAAAGCAATGTTAAAAGTATAGGGAAAAACACACGGTTAAAAATAATCTGGCTAATTTACTGCATGGGGGATGGAAGAGGTGTTAGCCAGGTTATTCTTTGCTATAATTCTGTTTTTTTTTTTTTTTTTTTTTTGTGGTGGTATTTAATTATATTATAAGGTAAAGGTATAATTATTGTTTAGAAGTTATTAGATTGAGTTAATAAAAAGGCCTGCAGTAAGTTAGCATACATACATGCTATGTAATTTATAAAATTATAGCAGCGTTATTTGTCTGGGTTTTATGATTTACTTGATGGTAGTATTCAATATGTAGTGCTCATTAAAAGAAATAAATGCTGCAGAGTTACTTTCTCAGCATGTGGTGTTTTCATGTGACAAAATGTGCTTAATTAATTCTCAGCACTTTATTGCACAATGAGTACTGCCATTTATTTGCAACAAGCCTCTAGTAATATTGATGTTCTCTACATTCCCATAAAATTCGTAGGGGGAGTTTTCAGACATCAAGTATAGAGCACGGAAACCTCTTTTTCTTATTATATGAAGAATTAAGTACAGTCAAAAGTTGTTAATCCGGACTCGTCGGGACTTCGGCGATTCTGGATTATTGATTTTTCCGGATTATAGATCATCAGTTTAAATCTGGTAAGATGGCATGCAGAAATTATAAAATTAAAAATATGAAACAGTAATTTATGAAATAAAGAACAATTATGATCTAAAGGGTATCAAAATTTACAAAAAAAAAAAAAAAAGCTTAATATTTATTTGTTTACTTTATTAAACATTTCTTTCAGTGTAAGAAGTTGCTTTGTTTTTTATGTGGTAATACATTCTCTTTAATTCTATAAACAGACATAATTTCTTGTTCAGTTACAAAATTCCGCTGTTAAAGTCCTATAATTGCTGTATCTACCGACTAATTTGTCAATCGAAATTTTTTCATTTTCAATAACCTCTGTTACTTTCTTCGCTATCGGAAGCGAATTATAATGATGAGGAATTTGATTTAAATCATATCAAAGACGGAGTACATCGAGATGAAATACTACATTTAGTAAGGAATTATAAGCCAAATAAAATAAAAACATCTGCCCTGAAGATAAGGATAGTGCTGACAGATCAACATCCAATTCATTGCGCGCCGCGGCGTTAAAGATAAACAAAGTTTTGATAAACAGACGTTAAAGTTTAGATAAACAAAGGATATGCCTTTATCCATTTTTTGCAGTAATTCCACTTTTTGTTTAATGGACTTCGAAACATACTTTCGCTTTGTAGATCCTTTACATATTAGTAAATATATATCAGAATTTCTATTTGACATAATCGAAAGTTCAAGCTTACTTTTATAAAAAATTTCTCTTAGTCTGCAAAAAATAATAAGCCGGATCCAGTTCGAAGATTAAGGAACAACGCAATCTGCAACATTAACTGAAATAGATAATTAGATAATTTTAGCTTAGCTTATACCCTCCGTTATACATTAAATGCGCACTCGTAAACGTATTTTGCGCAGACGCATATTCGCAGCCGTAAAGAGCTTACACGCATGCGTCAAAGCGACGCAGAAAGTTTGTAGCTTTGAGGTCCGAATTAACGACTTTTGACTGTATTAAAACGTAAAGGTTATCATTATATTTGTTTTGTGATTAAATTTTAAGAAACTCCACAGTTACTTTCAGGGTACCTTTATGTGTCAGCAAGTAAATATATGTTCTGTAGATACATTGTCTTTTTTTTTTTTTTTTTTTTTTTTTTGCTTAACTGCAAGCAATCAATTTCTCATGTTCTACCATTCCAGGTAAAATGACAAAATGGATTCATAAGGTAATAGACAAATTAGAACTGAAACATTTGTGAATTTACCGAAAATGCATATTACAATAATGGTTAAGTGATTTTATGTTTTGTTATATAAACTGTATTGTTTTTGTTTGTTTTTTATGGCTAGTATTTGGGGCGGAATCTGTGTACTTTATCAGATAAGTGGTAAGATTTGCAATGTACCAAAATGTAATAATTTCTTTTTGTTTATTTATTTATTTACTTTTACAGATTTTACATTTGGCAAACTTTGGGACTTGGAAAATGAATTGCCCGAAGAATTAATGGGAACAGCTGGTCTTGAACCATCTGATCTTCCAACACAAACTCAGCCATCACAGTCATCTACTCAACAGAATCTTCTCAATGGTACTGGTGAGAATGTTTCTGTTGAAAGTAGTGTTGGAAGTGTATCAGGTAGTGTTGGAAGGCATCAGCAGCTCTCTCAGTTACTACAAACAAAGCCAAATGTGTCACACAGTACTGTACCAACACCTCCAAGTCATAGTGGAATAGCAACATCACAGCGGATACCAAGTCCTAGTGTGTCTTTATCAACGATAACAGCTGTGAAAAGTCCTCATGCAAATAATCTGACACCTCCAAATGCAACTGTAAATAAATCTGGTACCCCTGTTTCATCCACTGCCCATATTAATGTTACTGATGGTAGCATAGCCATCACAAATATTTCGAACAGTATGGTTAACAGTTTAAGCAATACATCTGGAGGTATGGGTATGAATAGTAACATAATGTTACTTCCAAGTAAAGGTGGAACTTTGGGTTCTCAAGGCAACTTAGTATCCCTGCCAACATCTGTTGCTAATAACAGTAGTGGAGGTAATTTGCAGCATCAAAGCAACATTGCTGTTGTTCATCCACAAGTTAACCAGCAAAATGCAGGATCGCTTATAAATGGTAGTCATATGTCACTTGGAACCACTTCTCTGAGTATGACAAGAGGTGTTAATCCTAATGTATCATCTGTAGTGTCTCATAGTACTGTGCTTGCACCACATTCACCTCATCAAAATATTTTAGGTCATCCTTCATTAAATAATCAAGGTGCTAATTTGAAGGTACAGTCTTTTATATTTTTTTCCCTGATAATCTTTCTTTATACTTCTAAAATGTTTGTGTGTATGTGTCAGTTAATCTTTTCTTTAAAAATATTCCAGCTATCTGTTTTATGCATATGTACTCCTGCATGCACTTTTCGTGAAGTGTTTACTCATCTTATAGAATATTAATGTTTTTAGTTAACTCATTCATTATTTTGTTAGAATCCTGGTGTCGCCCAATTAGGACAAGCAAATAATGGTCCTTTTCATGTGTACAATGCTGTATCTGCTCCTCAAATAGGACTGCCCACTTCCATATCTTCCATTTCAGTTAGTGGACAAAGACAAACTATAACAAGTATTGCTATGAATGTACCTCCCAGATATTCTGCTCCAGTTGATTCAAATCTAGCAAATGTAAGTTATTTTATGATTAAAATAATAGGAAGTTACAAATTCTTAAATATTAGCATTTAATAATAGTGGATGAACCTGCTTTGTTTGCATATAGTTTTTACTTGTATTTTATTCAAGAAATGATTGTCCGTAATGTTAACTTTGCATAATTATTAGGTGATGTGATATTTGGGATAAGTAAATACTGTTTTATTATATGATTCAGTCATAATTTAAGAGAATGAATAATTAATGTTTCCAGGAAGCCTGTATGTAAGCTATTAGTGGGAAATTTCATGACTGTATAAAATTCTGCATGACTGTAAATGGCATAGGGAATTAAGATAAATTTTTTAACAGTGAAACAAAGCAAACATAACAACTGCAATATATAGGTATAGGAAAACTTTATAGCAGAAATGTTACAAATGTTTGTTACATTTACTTGTTAATGGGCACATACTGTGTGTGTACAGGCAAGAGTCCCACAATGCATATGAATTACCATAGCTACAAATTACCCTAGCTCTGAATGGATCCACGTGTATACTGATGGCTCTGCATGTGCGGACTCTCTAATATCATTTGAAAGTCAGCTTTTGACTTCATGACCAATCTGTCTCTATCAGGTCTGTCATTAAATTATGCTTCACCTGCATTGAATTTCGTTCTCTATATTATTTTTACATGCAGTGAAATCAGCTTACTTCATCTGTGCCATTGCATTCATTAATGTCCGTATATCCAAAATTGCATTAATGTGATGCAGTTTTAGAATTTATTGAGTTACTTGTGTGCCTTACAATGCATAATTAATTGAAAAATCACTTCAGTGCAATATTTTATACCCTGCAATTGCTAAGTTTCAGCCACCGTGCTAAATCTTGATCAGATATTATCTTTGTTGTTGCTTTTTGTTATGTAAAGGGTGTTTTTTATTCTTCATATGCTATTTGGACAACTTATGCTGTTTTCTGTCATGTAGGATTTTATGCTATTGTAAAATCCTAGAGTTTGCTCTGGAAGTTTTTGCAATATGTTTATGGGTATCTTCTATGTATCATGAACGTATATTGTGGCTTTATATCCTTCACAAATTGCAGGTATTCCCCACATTCTGTGCTCAGGATTTATATATTAGTTTGACAATAAAAGTTTTGAATTTTTGGTCCTTTCCCAAGTAAATTATTTCTGCTGTCATTGTCTTTAAAACATATCCTCACTAGTTCAGTCTAGCAACAGGAAAATAGACCTTTCATGCTTGCCAAAGCATACGGTAACATTTACACGTCTCTGAAAATGTGTATTATGTCTTGCCTCTAATGTAGCAGAAACATTAGCTACTAGACCAGTTAAAACAAGGCATTCGCAAAATGAATTTCATAGCATGATTCCATTCTGTGCAACCAGTCTCACAAAAGCTTGTTTTGTTAAAGCTAGTTAACACTGCGCCAAAAAATAGATAAATAAAAGGAGACAGTTCTATACCTCCTGTTCTGCAGAGCCGACTGGCAAAATTCAACATGTGTTCTTCATGTGTCGAAAGCACGACTTAAGATATGTATTAGATTTATTTATAACAGTTTTAAATATAGGTATTTTGACCAAAAAAATCGGACTTTTTCTGAAATGACATGCCAATTTTTTTCCATATTTTGTTTCTATGACTCAAATTATGCCCAAACTGCCAAGCTTTAAAAATCGCACGAATAGTTTCTTAAAAATTATCTCTCAAAATTTTAGCTCCTCCATGTTAATTGAATTTGATATAAATTTATTAATATATTTATTAAACTTGTTGACACTTGCTTGGAATCTTCCAGACTTAAAAATTTAGGCTTCATCCAAATATAATTTGCACATTTTTTTATTTAAAAAAAATTTACAAATTTTTTTTGTATATTTAACTATAAAATTTTTACTATCTTATAGTAGATGTATTTCTAAGCATATATGCAAAAATTTTGTTTGTTTATTTAAAATCTCCTAAAATATACATAAATTTACATTTTGGCTCATTTGTAAATTTGATGTGTTTTAATAAACAATAATAACAAAAATATGGTTTACGGACAAATATTTGAAAGAATGAACAATAGACAATTTTTCATCTCTTGCATCAATGAAAAAAATTAAGTAGGTACTATAAATTAAGAATTCTGCGAAGTGAACTATTCTTAGTGAAATCTGGAAAAAATTCACCAAGATCAATTTTTTTAATTTCTCATGAAAAATTAGAGTTTAATATTTAGGCATAATTTGAGATGTAGAATCGAAATATAGAAAAAAACTGGTATGTTATTTTAAAAAATGTGTGATTTTGTGTTAAAATACCTATGTTAGTATATATATACCTAATATATATAAGTCGCACTTTTGAGACGTGAAAAACGCAATTTGAATTTCGTCAATCAGCCCAGTAGAACGGGAGGTACAGAACCATCTTTTTTTCTTCGCAGTGTACAGGTAAGAAGTATAAATTTTTTACTATGAAATGAAAAATGTGTCATCTTCATTTTAAGTATTTTAACAGAATCTGACTAGCATGAGAATAACTTCCTTTTTCATGACTGATCTACTAAAGCACTCTTAAATATATAATTTGTAAACAGTAAGGTGGCAGTTCAATATTTCTGTATACTAGAGATAATGATTTTGAAAATGCATGGGTGGAAATATATGTATATCAGGTACTTATTGGCGTTTTTTTGGAGCCATTCCTGTTTACGTCCAATGGCCCTCCCCAGTAATATGGCGTCCAAAATATAATGCAATAAAATATAATTAGAACAAAAAATATATAACTTCAATAAACTACATTCTAAATCTGACAAGGAAATAACATAAGTATGGAAATGCATAGTATGTAATCTACGCAAACAAAAAGGAAATATCGACTTACCTTATTTTAATATTTCTGTTCCCTCGGTATCCAAGAGACACAGAATTCCTTAAAAGCATCCAAAAACTGTAAAAAATTATCTAATCTAGGATCCGTATACTGCCGTCACCACATTAATTCAGGTAAGTAAAAATTAAAGATAAATACCTGTTGGGGGCATTTCTTTCTAAAATCCCTTTTTATAAACCTCTCCACACATACCTTCTATAGTGTTGTTTTAAGCTACGGTTTCAAAATCTTAAAATCTCTCTGTATAATTTACCAAGAGGTGAACAAAGCCATTTAGATCTTCATTTACATATCAGTCGATCAAGCTTTCCTTGTCCATCCTTGTTAATCATAGATTCTGCAGACATTTTAGGGTGTAAAGCACAAAATTAGCAATGTACTTCCTAACCAACATCCGTACCTAAGTAAACCCTTACAAATATTTTCCCATCAATCCAATTCGGATTCACCACAAATCGCACAATTAGCCACATCATAATAGGGTTTCTATGACATTCAACTACTGAGGTTACCACAAATGAAACAGCTTGACTATAATCTAAGGGGTACCCTAAAATATATACTTAACCAATACAAGTATTCTTCTGTGCGGAAAGAGGCCTAGATTTTATGTTTATTTTTTGTATGTTTGAGCATGTTCAGCTTATCTTTGAAAGTTTTCAGGTGAACAGGCATTCAGCTTTATCAGAATTATATCTTTCTGACTATGTATTTTTCTTGTACTGCCATACATGTTATAGTATTGCTCTAAACTCCTGGTTGCTTTTTCATAAGTTAAATCAGAAAATGCTGCCAAGGATAGTGTCATTGATAATTTGGAGCACCGTATCGTACATTGTACTGAATTTGATCGTTATTTTTATCATCTCTTTGTTATGAAATTCATACGAAAAGAAATATCTGTGCAGAGTTCCAAGATAAGTGCTTGAGGTTTATATTTCCGTTTAATCTGAGGTAGTTATTTAACCCTTGACATTTTTATATTCATGCTATATTTCCAAAAATAGTTAATCACTAAAAATTATGAAACTGCAAAAAAAACAAAACATATTGAAATGTAGCTTTTTTATATATCTGTAACCTTTTTATGAATTAACAGAAATTTTTAAAAATTATTACTTAGATATTTTCAGTTTCCTAACCTAATTTTTAAGTAATTCATATTATTACTGTTTGTTTTGTACTTTTCTTAAGGACGTTTTATTGCGCCATGTAAATTTTTTGCAACTTTTGCAAAATACATATAATTTCCAGGTATTCCAACTCAGGGGTATGAGTGTTTTAGTCACGTCCTTCTTATGTTCCAGATTTCATCATCTTTGAAAAAAACAGCCCCCCAAAAAATTGTTTACAATTCTTTAGAGCACTTGCTGAGTTTATAGATGATAACATCACCGCCTTTATTTCGTTTGACTAAATATATTTAATCCAGGTTTTAAGTATGAGTGGTCTGCTGAGGAGCCATTTCATAGTGTCCATCTGATTTTGTGCAAGGTAATAACTCGCATTTCTACTTAGTATAACATATTTTACTAAGTCCCCAACCTTCCCAGAAAAGTACCACAAATTCCTAGGTTTGATTTTATTAAAACTTTGCTTGGTCTTAAAATGGAAGACTATTTATGTTGCCATTACCAGTATTTCTATGGTGCATTATAATGACTAATAAACACCTTGTAACAGTATTTAGAAGAGTGGTATAGTGCAGCTGAGAAGTCATGTAACAGAGGTAATACTCAAACACCAATACAATCACGACAATCCTAAAAGTGATATTTGACGTAGGTGTTAAGGCTTGTCTACATGTAGCGATTTTCTCGGCCCACTTATGTGGCCGACAATATTTGAGATAGCTCGCCTTTCCACACGGAACGATTTTCTCGTTAGTACAGGAATTCACTCAGCCAATCGCTATGAAAGGAAGTGTTCCCACCCTCTACAGCTTCACACTGTCTACGATTTGTAAACAGAGCTTACGGTATTGTCAAATAGTCAAAATAATGGATGATTTTTTTAAATTGCTACTATAGATACAGCTACAATTTTGACCTTAGCTACTGCTACGAAAGGAGGAAAAAATGCGTTTGGACCAGAAATTGGGTCAAAAGAC